GTTGGCTGAAGCATTTACAGCTGCAGGAAGAAAGAGGTCCATTTCCAAGCTTGTGGCATCTTCCTTTGAGCATGCAAACAAAGTGCTGACCCAGCAGCGTTTGTGGACACATGTGTTCCTGCTTCAAAAACCTAGAAGACCTCTGCCTCAACTTCCCTTAATACAATTCACATTGTACAGTAGCAAACACCATTTTAAATTGTGACACTGAGGTGCGTCCTGGCTCTCATTGCTCTCAAGTCTGGCTCTTCTGCTCTTTGTTAATGAGAAAGATGCATTTTCTTGAAACTGAGGCTCTTTCTAGGACTTGCAAACTCTCTATTTTATGACAGTTTTCATTTGCATAATGAAGGCCCTGATACTTTTAGTAATTAATCACATTAAGAATTGCTTCCTTGAATAACTGTATTCATGCAAGTTGTTCTTAGTGCTGGAAACTGCATATGATTTCAAATGTGCATTAGCCTATCTCTTTCATCAGCAGATGGAAGCTGGTAACTGCATGTGTAATTTATATCTGCTTGGGTGGAATTATGAGATGAAATATGCATTACACAGCTCCATTAACATTTCTACTCATACAGTTTTTAGCTCTTGGGGAAGTTAATATCACATGCCAACAGTGTGTGGGACCAATATGAAAGGCAGAGAGTTGAACACAGGAATTTAAAAGCGCACGCGGAAAGTATTCCAGGTCAGACATATCAGAAATAGAATTAATATGGAGATTAATGAAGTCGCTAAATTAAATCAGATGCAATGCCCTTTTCTGACCTGCATTTCTTTTAAAACATCCCATCTTGTCTCCATAGCTAAGAAAACGGTCAGGTTTGCCCACTGATTCCCCTCTTATAAGGGCAACTCCAGATGCTTTTACATCCAAAAAGATTTCCACCAGAGCACAATCAGCCAGGGAATAACTACTGAACCTTGGGAGGCAGCACAGAAAACAAGCATGGCTGTGTGGGTTTTGATTTGTCAGTAACCTTAACAAATTTGGAAAAAAATCATATCAATGCAATAGTAAGAAAAAAACATTCAGTGCACAGACTTTGCTCTCTGACAACAGTATAAGGTTAACCAGAGAGCCTCGTGTTTGTATGTATGTTGGTTTATGAGCATTTTTATGGGAGATAAAGTGTGCTACCTTGCAGTATATTTTTCATTTGCTTTTTTTGTCCTTAGGTAAACCTCGATTAATTAAAATACCACTCCACTGCTTCCTGCTTGAAAGGAAGCAATTAAATGACTGAAGCTGCATCCCATCTGCTTCTTACGTGCAGAGATGGAGGGAGTATCTTTAACCCAAGCGGGTACAGCGGGGGCTCATGGGGCACTCACCCTGTCCTGCTCCCTGCAGTATCGCTCTCTCGCCCAGCTGGCGTGACTGATCTGCATGCAAAGCAGCTCATCCTGGCAGGGTCATCCTAAGGCCTTCTGCTGTTTGAAGAATTTCACCCTTGGAAAGGCTTTCAGGGCCCAGTGGGCTTTAATTATTTTCAAGCCAAGCTAATTCTGCTTTCCTGCTCTGCTCTGTCATACCTATAGCTGAAACCCTGGCTCCTCTCCCGTGTGAAGCTTGTGCTGCCTTGGCCTTTTGGAGGCGATCTGGCCAGGATGCAGCAGCAAGGTGGAAACTAGCTGTGGCCACAAGCCGGACAGGCTAACTCACCTGCCTCTTTCCTCCCTGATGATGCTGTGGCCACGGGCCGAACCCTGAGCCAAGCCCGCAGGTGCTGCCTGCAGACAGTGAGGGTCAGGCTGTGCAGGGCACGCGCGCAGCTGGGGCAGGGCTTTCTGCGCAGCCCCCAGGAGATCCTCACGGTGCGGCCAGAGCGTGGGCCTGTCCTCGAGCCAGGCCGAAGGGATGAGGGGTGTTAAGCTGGCTGGAGTACCCTGTACTTCAAGAAACATCCCACTCACCCGTGGCAGCATCTGGAGGTACACTGCCGCTGCTCCCAGTTGTCTCACTGCCGCTGCTCCCAGTTGTCTTCTTTCTGCCCAAGACAGAAAGAAAAAACACCTCAGCAAAACCCAGACTTGGACTTTGCTTAAAGCCTCTGACTAAAGAGCCTCGTTTGAATGTAATTGCACCCCTGTTGCTACAAGGGGAAAATACACTGTATTGCTCACTCTTTCTTTCTTGGAAAGCTTGGCTAGTATTTTCCCAGCCATTTGTACATAAAGAGAGATAAATAGAGCTCTTTAGCAGGCAGAACAATCCATCCCAGTTTTACTGACGTTCATGCAAGCCGATGAGGAGACGCAGCTCAGCGGTGCTGAATGTAGGGAAGGGTAAAGCTCCAGCCTCCCTCTGCCTGGCAGCGCCGGATCACCCATCAGAGGCCGGCTGAGGGTGCGCAGGGGACACCCTCCCTTCCTTGGGTGCCTCGCACGCAGGGACGCCTTGCAGAAAGGTGGGTGCTCGGGAACCTCCCAGCTGCAGGACGGGCCAGGGTGCGGGAGCAGGGTGCCGGGGCCGGACATGCTGCAGCTGGGAGCAGCCGCCTGAAGGCTGAGGGACACAACTGCCTTCTCGCCCATCGCTATTCGCTCCTCCCTATAAATAAAAAAAGCATATAGCAAATTTAGCTCTGGCTTCACGTGCAGTGTGCTATAGATAGATTTTTAAAGAGCTTGTCTCAGAATAATAATTCATGGGGAGATGGAAAGGGTAGGGTTTAATCAGGGGTCTGTCTGATACCATAAACCTTGCAGAGTGCTAGGAATTCTGTGAGCAGCGTCAAAAGCCTGATAAACATGAAAGGCAACTAATTTTCTGGCAGTGAGGCTAGTGTGGCTTACAACGGGTGCTGAGGAGCCGCAAAGGCTTGCATCTCCTCTGCAGCGCTTGGGTGCCATGCTGACATGGAGCCACCCACCCAGAGGTGCTCCCATCGCTCCCCACTTCAGGCTTCTAAAAGAGGTGCCTTGTCTCCCTTAACATCTGAATTGCTACCTGCAGCTCCACCGGATATATAAAGAGCTAGGGTTTCTAATTAGATGTCTAATTACACAGTGCAGCTAGGCTTCAGTATGCACTCTGCCTCTCAGCAGCCCCTTGTCCTCCATGAATGAGACTCACACAGTCTGTTCTCCAAAAGCCATGTGGCAAAAGTCATCCCAGTAGACTGTGGAGGCTAGAAAGGGAGCGCAGGCATCTCCCGTCCCGGTGGCGCCTGCCCGCGTCGCGCTTGAGCCTCTCTTGTGCCGGTGCATTTTCCGTGGGAGGCCAAGTGGCACGGCACTCCCACCAGCAAGGTGTCCCGAACTCGAGAAAGGGAAGCGCCAAGTCCCGCAGCCTGGGACCTGCTGTACGGAAAGGACAGCAAGGCCACAGCCCTTGGCTGGGGAGAAGCTTCCACTAGGGACCACGATATCCCCTAACTGCTGCCGGGATCTGGGTTGATCCTAGGGAGAGATGTGTTGATCCCACAGGCTGGTGCAAGGCAGCAGTCCCTCTGCTCGGGGACTGCAGTGCATGTTGTGCAGGCAGCTCATCTCTGCTGTCGTTTCTCGTGATACTTCGAGTTGCAACTCAGCAGCAAGCTGGAGCAAGTCCTTAGTCTTTGGGGAAAAAAAAAACCTGTTTTAAGTGTATCCATTTTTGTTAATAATGGACTGAATGTGGAATGAGCTAAGGGATGTTTCTTCTCTGAATTCAGGCCTGGCAGCCACCACAGAGTCCTGTCCCGAATGCCTTGCAAGGGGCTGGCAGTACCTGTGACTGAGCCCGACAAGCCGGCAGCCACGTCTCTGTGGCTCTGGCAGGATCCCGAGCAGTTCAGAAGTCCATGTAACATTTCTGTCCGTAGCCTCGCTGCTGCTGTGTACATGGATAGAGCCATCAGGCAGTCCCTGCGCGGCTCTCTTGCCTATTCCCCTAGCTCTGTCCCAGCATTTCACATTATCAAGACTATTAAAATGGGGGATTTGTATTCTCTGCTTTCAAGCTAAGGTAACTTTACGTCAAGTTAATCCAAAGGGTTCTTTTTTAAAAGATGCATGGTGTTGTGGCTGCACTGAGTGTAATGGATGTGTGCTGGCTAAGATAAATTTAGGATCTGGCCCAGGACAGCTGGATTTCAGATGGGGACTGCAAAAAATATGGGTTGCCAAAAATACTGTATTTGGAAGCTGAAAATAATGCCTAACAGGGGGCCAGTAAGGATCAGCACTGTAAATACAGGTCTCCAGAGTGGGAGACCTCTGTCATGCTTCTTAGTTACCATCAAAAGCAGCATTTAAAAGCTGGCACTTTAATTTTTAACACAAATGAAGGTGAGTTCAGACTGCAGATACCTGCAGAGAAGGAGCTGGATTTTTTTCCAGAGGTATTGAGCCCACTGAGGTTAATGTGATTATGTAAATGACTAAGATATAATTACATTATTGCCACCCATCTGGCCCTCCTTACAGTTCATAAGTGATCTTTTATTCCCCAAGCACTGCAGTGCTGCAACACAAGGACACTAGAGATGCCATAATTCACTGCTTAGTTTTTGCTGCAAGCACCATCTCTCCAGTTCAGCCTTTGGTACAGGGCTATTTAAGGCCCTTCAAATGCCAACAGATTGTGAAAGTTCTTCCTGGATGTGAATTAACAGCAACCTGCCATTTCCCCTCTCACCTTACCTAAGCTGCTGGTATTTGGACCGCCATCTGCTTCAGAAGCCCCTTCCTGCTGCCAGCGCCCGTCTCCCGGGGAGGCTGTGCTGGAAGTCCCTCCTGGGTGCCGAGCTCTCCCTGCCGTGCTGCATTTTAACCCTAACTGCAGGCTCGTGCTGCTCACAGCTGCTGGTGTGGCCCTAGGCTGCAGGAAGGGGAAGGTCACAGCTAGATTTTAGAAGATCTGAGTTCCCACTAAGGGCTGGGAAAAAATCTGACTCTTGAAGTCAGGAGAGTCCAGAAGATCAAGCTCAGCTTGACTAGTACTGCACACTGTCCCAGATGTCCTCCCAGTCCTGCATCTCTTCTAATCTGGGTTTTTCCTCCCTCAGTACGAGTTCAAAGCCAAGAACATTAAGAAGAAGAAAGTGAGCATCATTGTCTCCGTGGACGGCGTGAAAGTGATTCTGCGCAAGAAACAGAAGGTGAGACTTCTCCAGCACCCGAGGGGCAATCGGGAGCCGGAGCAGTCCTGGAGGGGCAGCTGGCTGTGCTGCATGGCCACAGCCGGCATCGTGCACCACAGCAGAGCTGCAAGTACCTCACAGAACTAGACAAAACCATCTAGTCACTTCCCATGTCTGGAGGTAAGATCTGTCACACCTAAATCATCCCTGGCAGGTATTTGTGAAAGGTCTCATCCCGCTCGCACGTAGTCTGGGATTCTGTTAAACTGTTGAACTTGGGGATTAGGAGCCTTTCCAAAATTCAGGTTACAACAAGCCCTGGATGTTCTCACGGCCCATGCAAGAGTCACATGGAGACTGGGCATTGAAAGCTATTGGCCTTGGTTACTGCCTGTGCCTGTTCCAGACAAAGTAGATTTTTTTGGTGCACTCCAAAGATCAGCAGGGAAAGTGAGGCAATGGGAAGCTTTGCACAAGCAGGATTTGCATGTTTGCATCTTAGTGGGGGTTCTGTAATGCTGTCTCAGAGTTATTTTACGTGTAGGCTTTGAATGTGTCTGAGTATTAGAGCTGCTCAGAATAATTAAATAAACTTCTAACCCAAACTGGCATTTTCATAAAAAACATCCAGAATTTTCAGAAGAAAAAAGTCCATTTTTCACATTTTTTATGAAACTAACAACAAATCTTACTGAAAAAAAGAGCGGGAAAATTAAGAGTAGGAAGAGGATTTAGTTTTTTCTGTCAAAAAAATGTAAAGCTTTCAGGACATACAGTTTTTTTTTTTTTGGTCAGTATTAGTACCTCTACGTTCGCACCTGAAAAAAGCCAGCAGCTGGACCCAGATCTCCTAAACGCTAGCTCAAAGCCTTGTTCCCCAAAATATATTATTCTTCTGCATATTTGATGCTATAAATTGATCTTAGGACCTGTTTTCAGCCCTGAAAGCTGTAATCAGAAGATCAGATACGATAAATGATCCGAGAAGTCTTTTTTTCATCCAAGATACCGACTACATAGCCCATGCTAACATAGTCAAACTATAGCCTAGATTTTGGTTTGGGACAAATGCACTATTTTCCATGGGTCCTGACCATCAGAGTGGTAGAGTTTCATTTTCTCTGATACGCTGCAATTTTGTTTCTGTCCTCTGCTTACAGAGAAAGGAATGGACCTGGGACGAGAGTAAGATGGTAGTGATGCACGATCCTGTGTACAGGTATGCAGCAGGGGATTTACACCAGCTAGATCCAAGGCAATTAATCAAACCAGAGGGGATGCATTTCCATGCTTCTGCTTGCTGAGTTATCACCACCAAGAAGCGTGGCTTTTCCAACGGCCCGTGAAAAATTAATGAGGTGACAAAATTCCTGCAGAGGGAGAATCTTTTCATATG